ACCACCTGAACCATCCCATGTACGTGTGCTGTGTTGTGTTTCATTGGATATTTACACCTGAACCATACCATGCACGTGTGCTGTGTTGTGTTTCTGTAGATATTAACACCTAAACCATCCCATGCACGTGTGCTGTGTTGTGTTTCTGTAGATATTAACACCTGAACCATCCTATGTACGTGTGCTGTGTTGTGTTTCATCAGATGACGAACGTCCATGGCTACGCATTCGCCACTCCGTGCATCACCACCAAACGCCTCGCCAAACTCTCGACCGACTACTGCTATACATTTGTGTATAAGAAAGACATCATTCCCAGGACAGGTATGTCTCGGAGATTAACGTGACACATCTGTTGTATTTTAATCGCATTGTATGCGTAATAACATTCATATGTGTGGCGTATATCGAGGTCCAGGTGGCATGTCAGCTGTTCGTTGTATCGTAGTGTAGCTCTGCTGAGCGTGTGCGAATATGACACAGTTAGTGTACACAATGATCTCACTGTCTGTGGTTGATTCCTGCAGTTGAATAGTCTTTGGGCAATGCTTCTGCATGTGAACTGCACACTGCAACGGTGGTCATACTTATTACGTTCATCATGTACACACAAGCACACACTCTCGCACACACATCGCGCACACAGCACACACTCATACACACACCTCGCTTCTCATGCACATACGCGTTTGTGGTGGTGGTGTCAGGTTTGCCGCAGGTGGAATACTTATTAACTGAGATGCAGGAGGACAAGACGGTGCCCAATCCCAACGACTTTTACGCACGCTTCTCCTCAGAAGAACGCATGATACCCACAGGTAAGCTAACCAGGCACACCATGCTATCGATAGCTAACACACCATGCTAACGATAGCTTACACACCATGCTAACGATAGCTTACACACCATGCTAGCAATAGCTTACACACCATGCTAACGATAGCTTACACACCATGCTATCAATAGCGTACACTTAGTCGTGCGTATCTCCCCATTCTGCGTAAGTAATTTGAGAACTGTACACAAACTCTGAACCATAAAACGCAAACGTGGCGGATGTTGTGTTATGGACCTCAAATACATCAATGCTTTCATTCTGATATGCCTTAGAAATCATGTCATTGGTTTTCCACTCACGTACACGTTACGCTGTCATGTGCGCTGCATCCGTGAAACTGCTCCCACTCTGTTGCACAACGGAGTCCATACGAGCGTGTATGTGGCCAGCCTACAGTACGCTCTCATAGAGTCCTAGGATTCACTCTCATTCGGTTCTAGGGTTCACTATCGTTGGGTTTTAGGGTTTGGTAATAGTAACGTAAAAACCTATACGCCGTGATCAATTGGGCATCAGATCATTCAGCGCAGAGCGTATACCAATGTTACATAATTTCAATCAGTGTACCAAATCTATATATATATATATATATAAATATGTGTGTGTGTGTGTGTGTGTTTTATATAAATATATGTGAACGTATACCACTGCTACATAATAGCGATCAGTGTACCAGATCTTAAGGTCAATTGTAACTTTGTCAACGTAAACCTTTTGCTCAGATGCTCTATTTCCTTCACACCCCTAACTCTTGCCAAATAGGACGGATCTTCCAAATATGGAAACCCGGAAATGGGGTCAACAAAGACCTCGACTTGAGCCGTCATGGGGCCATGCTGGTCGGAGAGGTTGAGCCAATGGTGTGTGCACCTGTTCACTTCCATTGTGTACTTGTGCACTTTCATGGTGTACTTGTCCACTTTCATGGTGAACTTGTCCACTTTCATGGTGTACTTGTTTATTTTCTTTATACAGCTACTAGTGCGGTCGTTGTCGGATGTTATGATGTAAGTAAGTAAGAATGGTTACCATCGCTGTCAGGAGTTTGTCTGCTTATTCACTTCCATTGTGCAGCTGTTAGTACGTTTGCTGTCGGATGTGGTGATGTAGGTAAGAATGGTTACCATTGCTGTCTATAGCCACTCTTATAGAGTTATTCGTATGGTGATTCGTGTCCAGGGCGATTCGGCCTGTTAAAAAGTAGGTCCTGCACATATATGGAAGTGTCTTTTCGGGGGTGTACTCATTAACAGACATGGAGTGCTGTTGTAGAAGGGCATGTGCTATATTGATGCGAAGCACATAGGCGAGTGATAATGGGTGTATGGTTGAGGGGAGTCAATTTGGTTTCAAAGTGAACATTGGAAGTGTTGATTACAAAGACGTGCATATTTTGATTATCTCCTGGGTACTTGCACATTCGTTTGATTGTTTACTCATCATGTGCACTTGGAGTCTTAGGGTTCTAAACCGTAGTACCTGGCACCAACGTGTTTAGACAATGCACGATGCAGTCTGTATTGTTCTTATAGAGTTGATGCAAACGTGCCCGATTCAAGCTGCGGCGCCAAGATCATGTTACCATTAGGAGAGTAGTTTCTCACCGACAGCATCATCTGCGATGATTCCCGTGAAGGTGCTTGAACGGATAAACAAGGACCCTACATGAACATTCATTGTCGCAAACCCTAAACCTCACCAACTCTACTGTACACATCCCATCTGTCGTTCGCATAATGAGAATGGCTGCGCATGCGCCACGTGGTAACAGCCACTCGCCCATCGACAAATCACTCCAGTTTTATGGTTTCATTTAAAACCTGAACACCCTTAAATCACTCCAGTTTTTTGGTTTTATCGCCCAAGAATGAATCACATGATGCGATAGATCAGCGGAGTAGGTAGACGTGACCGTTTGGAACAAACCATATCACTAACCCCTGCGACGTGTTTCTTGCCGCAGTGGTTCTCCCGGCTGTTGTTTTCAAAAAACATTGTGTGGCATCACATTCTGGACAACTATATCTCGGGTCTAATGGAGCACAACATTCACTATGTAGAATCAGATCTCTGTTCAAAGGACGATCGTGACACATGGACTACATTCATGGTAAGTGTAGGCTAGCTGCATGCTTGATTATCATGTGGTCTATGACACGCATGCTATGCCAATTGCCTCGCAGGTATATTCATACTGGCTGTCTATTTATTCAAAGTTCTATCTATCAGCCGTATCTACAACCATTGCTCAGGTACCTATTTTTATCTTTATATATATATCAACCGTATCCACAACCATTGCTCAGTTACCTATTTATATCGTTATATATATCAGCCGTATCTACAACCATTGCTCAGTTGCCTATTTTTATATTTCTACCTACCAGCCGTATCTACAACCATCGCTCAGTTGGAAGAAGGCCAATAAAAAGGCCGTCCTGAAGGGAAGACGTGCAAGTCTCAAATTAGATCTCAATGTTGAGGGTCCTATACAATCTCCAGAGACAACCAACTCACCCGCCAGAAAGTTTAGGTATGTTTCTGCCGAGAAACAACCTTTTCAACACGCACATGTTCATACACCTTGTTCTATCTAGGTGCAGTCGAGTTTTTTATACGAGTTACACACGAGCGCTAGTGTCGCATGTACGGTGCCTATGTAACAGATATCAGGTTGGCCAACATTTTCGGCACTCCTGTCAGAAAAATTGACAATTCTAACCTGCTTTCTCTGCAGATTTAAGAAACTGACACCGTTGGCCTCTGCGAAGGCATCGAAAGAGAAGACTATCGATGAGTATTGAGGCACGGTCGATTCTGAGCTACTCCATCGGGTATCAAAAAGTTTTGATAGCCATCATAAAAATAACCATAATCTAACGCACCCGTCCATGGTGCATAAACAGAGACTTTTAAGGTTTGACTATGTATAAATGCAGTCCCCTGATTGACCAGCTACTCTGTGTTCGATCAGAATGATCAGCCATAATAAATACAGACATACTCTATCGCGTGCGCGCGTGGTGCATCTACTGAGCCGTTCAAAATTTATTTAGCGATATGGCTATATACAGTGCCCAGTGACGCTAGCAGAAATGATAGTATGCGGAAAAGAGTAGGATTATTTATTAGTTTTCACTAACGGACCATTAACTGATCACCGCACAATATAGCAAATCGCACTACAGTGAAGGTTATCATGTAAATCCATTCTGTACGATGTATTCTACCTATTTTAAAGGATTTAGGTTTTAAAGCCCCTGAACCCTATCTCATCTTAGCCAAGGTAGCCAAATACAGCCCTCAGAAGCGTCTATTGTGGTTTTACCATAGCAGCCGGCGAAGTCGTGCACCAGTAAGGGAGTAAGGGATATCAACTCAGAGACCCGACACGCAATTATACACCCACACTATGCCGATATAAACAGAACTCATAGATACACCAATTTAAGGCTGAGACATTTCTGCACTTGTAGAATGTAAACTGCACGACATGCCGAATAGTACGAATCTGCTTACATATGTAAATGGATTTAGAGTTCAATGGCATATCTGGTGCTAAAGGAGACAGTTTCGTAGTTACGTACACGACAATACAACTCCAAGGAAGCTTAGTCTAGATATACTGTTCGCGGATCGTGGCTCGAGCAGAGGGTTCCCCAATCTTTGTCACTGGGTAGATTGCAGACAGTAAAACAGCGAATACAGGTAGATATTGAAGTATTAATTTTACGTAACGAGACAACATAGTCAGATATAGCACCCCAAACCCCCGCGCGCTCTCCCCCCTTCTCTCCACTAGGTCATTTTTTTCTTTTTGTTCACAATTTGTGTCATCTGCGAGTACAGCCCTTATTTCAATGTATTTTATCGTCGTGAAATGAAAGCTAGTGGTCAATCATACATATTGAGCATCTACTGCATACTGCGTAGCCTTCTAGATAGTAAAATCAACAGGGTATCGTCTACTAAATACAAATAGCATGTGAACTGGGTTTTGCTAGTTGGTAGCTATCTAAATACATATAGGGCTCTTCGGTTTCTGATAATTTAATATGTGAAATAATACTTTGCCCGGCAAGTAGCGAACTGAGCCCTTTCTTAGGTCTTCAATTCCATCCATACTCCTTTTCGTGGAATGGAAGAATTGAGACTTTCGGCGGAGTTTCCAAATAGGACATAACCCGTATCTCTATTCTAGTTAGCCGCCCCTTCCATTAAAGTAGACGGGGCTTTAAACCGTCGGTTGCCATCGCCCCAACAAGCGAACCGCCTCCTAGCTTAAAATATTCATACTCACCAAGTTAAACTGACATCGATGCCTTAGTTGACGAACCAGTCAGGATACTTGTGCTATAGCTTCTTTTCCCACCGATGCCTTTGGCTGCAGCCACTACGGTACCATAACTTATGGCGTGACCTAACTCTCACCAGTACTCCATCAATAGCCGCACTATTCGTTCGACCGTGTGCTATGTTGGCTTTGTACTGTGAGTATGACTGGTAACCACTACCTCTATTCCTGCTGTTCCTTGTACTGCCACGATCACCTATGTCGCTATCTTGCAAACGGCTCTTGTCTCTATTAAATGCACCTTGGTGTCGAATTCAAACTCCTTTTTTGATGCTGCGGAGTTGCAGTCTTGGGCAGCATCCTAGTAGCATCCTTTACGCTCCAACCAGATACATAAAAAAATTCCCTGTCAGTAAATAAACCGCTTGATAATTAAACCAGCCTTGCTTCTCAGCAGCCTTGGATGTTTTAGGGTTCATTGGTACATGTATTCATTGTTCGTCACGAGAGGCTTCAGCAACTATGAAAATGTAGTTTAGTAGGGACCATACCGGGAGGACGCTCCTGGGCAACATGGGAGTCAAATGTAAAGTTTCAGGACTCCCTCAGCATCCGTGCCAGTGAAAACCAACACAATCGTTGGTGCAATTAAATGTATTTATGTTTCGCCTCAGATCGTGGTCGTTAACAACTACTTGCTGTGAACCAAAAGTCATTGTCAAATGCTGCTAAGTCGCCACTAAATTCAAAAACATCACAGGATCCACCGGGTTGCCAACCTCAAGCCTGACACATTGACAAATGGTCCCCCGGGCGGAATATGATCTGAGAATTCGAGAACTTCCAAGAGTCACAGATTTAAAATGTAGACCCGGATATCCATTCGGTTTCAGATGAACATTTCTATAAGTAAGGTTAACATCATAGGCTCGCCAA